AGTAACCATTATTCATTGAAGGCCTACTAAATGAGAAAATGTATGTTAAAGTACTAGGCAAAGGCCTGGATTGTTATTAAGGCCAAGTATTGTTATTAAGCACTGAAGGAGAGACAAACAAGGATTAGACAGATCTTTGCCCTCAACAGCTTGCTTTTCAGTTAGGAGCTAAGCATGACCCCAGACCGCTAGCATTAGAGAGCAGTGTGTGCAAGATGCTGAGTGGGGCATTGCAGGCCATGAGAATCAAAGGTCAGGGGTTCTCTTTTACTTTAACCATCTCGGTTTCAGTTCCTTCTACCACATTTTCTTGCTTCGAAGACCCAAGAAACCTGAGTGGGTAAAGAGAGGCTACTTTTCTTTTTCCCCATAGACCTGGGCAGGAAGGCCAAGTTGTTTTTTTTTTTTCTTTTAACATTGATTTTATTTGTGCTTCATGGGCATTTTGTTAATATATTTTTCCTCATGTATATGAGGCTGTGAAAGGCTTTTGCTGCTGCTGCTGTATTAATGAGCAGGGTTTTTGCACCTGCATTCGTGACCGCTATATTCATTTGCAAGCTGTGTTACTACGGCCAGGGGTACAGATAGCAGGTCTGGAATGAAATGCGTCTGTAGGAAAGCAGCAGGTCCTAAGGGAATCAAACCCTTGACCTTGGTCTCATTTACATTGTGTCATGAGCAACTGAACTAATTGCTCACTATTTAGTAGGTTAGATCAACAATAAGACCTCAAAGAGTTCTTAATAGTATCCCAGAGATAGTAACTCTCATTGGGGCAACATGCAGGCGCCAGCAGAGCCTACTGAAATATTTTTAGGCAAATTTACTTAGGCAAATAGACTTTTAAGGCAGGATATATATATATCTGTGATTGTGTCAACCAAATTTCTTCAAGGTAACTAAGATTGCAAAGAGGTCAGAAGGTCAGAAGTCAAAGAGGTCTGTCTAGTCTGTGGCCCAGACTCTCTTAAGCTGCCTGATTTTGTTGAGTAAATGGCACCGCTTCTCTGGAACTCAAGCTTCCTATTTATTAACCGGTTAGATTAGAATTATCTAAACAGTAGATGAGGGGTTTGGATTTTTCCAGCAGAGGGAGGGTAAGTGGGTACCTTAGGGGATCTGGAGGCATGGCCCAAAGCTTTACAAGTGCAAAATTTTGTGAGTCATTTTTTGTCTAAAAATTCACCCAAGTGTTGCATTGACTCGGTCACACCCATGTTTGTTGTCCCGTGTATCCTGCCTCCAAGTTGAGTAAAACCAGCCCGTCGGGGAGATGCACTGTGGCTGACCTGGGTTTCCAGGAGCTTCTGGCAGTGCTGGGTTTGTTTCATCCGTGGGTTATAGGCAGGAGTTTCAGATGGTCTCGGGGGAGCTTAGAGACTCCCAGGCACATCACTGGGGCAGTTACTTAGCTTCGGTTTTACATTTATAAAATTAGATTGGGGTAATAGTACTTTTCAAACCCTCCGGGCTTTCATCTCGACCCTTTTAATAAGTAGATATTACATTTTCTTTACTTCAGTTGATATAATATCTAGGTCTGTTTTTTAATTTGTGGTTGCAATGTGGTTAGTGACGCAGGAATGAATGACGTAGGGTGCAACGTCAAAATAACCCAAGAAAGCAGTCTGAAAGAAAACCTGAGTTGTACAACACAGAAATGAGAAGTATTAGATACAACCCTATTCAATAAAATTCAATTATATCATTTGTTTCTGCAACAGTTAATATAAATAGACTGAAGCTGAGGAAGGGGTTTATGTTCTTTCCATTTCCATATCAGAAATTGTCACATAAAGCAGTGACTTTTAACCTTTTTTTATCTCATGGCACACGTAAACTAACTGCTCAAGTTCTGTGGCAAACCACACCAAAAAAGTTATATTTTGTGCTGATCTGACCAAAAAATAGGTATACTTTTGATTCATTCACACCAGATGGCTATTGTTATGTTGGCTATTGCCATTTTTTAAAAATTTGACAATCTAAAGGAAGAGAGGTCAGTGCCCCGACTAGATAGCCGGGTGTTGCAGGTTCTAAAAGTCCCTGCAGCGTGCAGGTGTGCCTGCCACGGCACGCCCGTCGGAAGTCGCCGGGGTAAGGGGCCATGTTGTTGATATTCTTCATACAGAACACATTGCAGTATGTTTCAGAAACATTTCTCGTTAACACAGAATGACTAAGCAAATTCCAGAAAATTCTATATTTTGTAAGTTATAAAAATTACTGTATAAATTCTTAAATGTTCACATTAGCTGGCTCTCCTGCCCAGACGGAGTTACTCCTCAAGACATTACAGTCTCAAATGACCACAAATGATTGGTCAAAATTCTGTAAACCTCATGGAATTGTTGCATTGTTTTCTATAAACCACAACCAGAGCTCATTAATTGAAAAATGAATGTCAATTTGCCTTAGCTGACATTTATAAACTAAAAAGGTACAGTGGTCCCGGCATGTTATGGATAATAAAAACATTAACAAAATGTATCAGGTAAAACAGAGAAGGTGGAGGGGTCAATTCAAAACCATAGTGGAGTTTACTGGCAGGGCCCCACATAAAGGGTTTTAATGAGGCTTCTGCCTCAAAATAAGGGAAACCACATGGAATTTTAATTATGACTATGGTATATTTTAAGTACAAATACCCACGAGAAGCGTTTTTTACATTGGCAAACCTATCTGAGTGAGCTCTTTGCTCCTGTGGGGGGCAAACATTGATGTTTTAAGTGTGACTTCTTTCTGTTTGAAATTGCTCACATTATTCTGGTTTCTTTCACATGATCTGAGCATTGAACTTAATGTGTACAGAAGTGGCCCGCCTCTAACTATTAGCTCTGCCAACTCAAGTTCACCTAGATGTGCGGCAATGAAAAGCCTGGCCGAGGAACATCTGTGGCCTCCATACTGTGCCTGTACCCGTAAGGCAATTCATACGCATGGGGCGGGGAGACGTTAAATCTCATCTGTTCCCATTTGCCATTCTGTCATAATCACTACCTCTAGATTTTTAAACTTGAGCTTGTCAGTTTTGTATTTGGGAGGGGTTAGGTAGAGGCCAGTTGAGGATGGAAGAATTTGTAAAAAGCAGAGTCACTGCCCAGACTGTGTTAGTTTTGGTTTGTCATCTTGAAAGTGTTTGCTTCTGGTAGTCGAAGCTGCTCGCTAGCTTTTTACCCTCCATTTCTGGGCCTGTGGATTCCGGGAAAGGACTAACGAGGGGGTGGGAACTCCTCTGCCTCGCCCTCCCCTAAGGCTGTTGCTTCTCCTTCTGACTTGGAATTCACGGTGATAGAACGTAGAGCTGGAAGGGAACTTAGAGCTCATCCCCCTCGTTTTACAGATGATGACACTGCCACCTCTGACTTCTGCCTTTGGCCTTCCACTCTCAGTAAGAAGAGCCAGGCAGGTGAGACTTTTAACCATTGCTGGGCCGGGCCGGGTGGGGCTGTCTGATTGCTACTGTCCGATTTGTGGGAGCAACTTTTGTTAACTACACACTGCTTTTAAATCATCACTTTTTATTACAAATGTGCTTCCTGGCACTTAGCCCTGGCTTTGTGTGAAGATTATAGGCAGTGTGCATTTTAACAAAAATGAACAATTCTCTCAGTCAGCACCTTTGAAGAAGAGTAGGAGGGCTATGCCTTCAATAAGTATCGTAGCATCTAAGAACAAGTGCTAAATAAAAGCGGGACTGAAGAAGCACCTGCTCACCAAGGCTTTCAAGAATTACCCAGTCCTTCCCCTTACAGACAAAAGCTATCCGAAAAGCAAATATATGGTGAGACCCAAAGAACTGGAAGATTTTTAGATGCAGCCAAAATCTTAAGAACATTGGTATTACAAAAGAGCTTGTCACAGTTTTGTTAATTTTAGAAAATCGTAACTCAGTTTGAAAACTAATCAGTTTGAAAACTAATTTCCACATGAAGTGGTTTATAACTGTGGTTTCATAAGTTAAGCACCAGAAATCTCTATCTAGAAAGCATACTGTTGGCTTTACAAGCTAAAGGGCTTCACATTTCAGGGGGAAACCATCTTTGCCTCCATGTCACCTGTTTGGCCTGAGGCGAATCCTGTAGGGTGTGGTCCAGGGGCCTGATGGAAGGATGGCGAGGTGCCCTTCTCGTATCTGCACTGCACAGAGAGCCTTTCACAAAGGCGACTGTCAGCACTGGGCCTACATCTGGTCCTATGTCCACTATCCAGGCTTGCAATGCAGTGAGTTCTAGGTACTAAGTGCCCCCCCCCCACCCAGTGCTTTTAAAGCCTACTTATTTCGTTTATGACCCTCAGGAGAATTTCTAAGGGCTGGATTCTCCTGATACGCCCCCAGATAAGTAGTGTAGATAAGCAATTTTCGTCTTCAGTCTGGTTTGATTTTTTTTTAATTTGAAATCTGTTACCAAGATGAAGAATAAAACAAGATTTTAAATTACGTCAAGACTTGAAAAGAAGTGATTGGAACACGCTAGGGTACCATGCTAGGGTATCTTGTTAACATTCCTTCATTGATAAAGGGGGACCTGCCAAGAGTACCAATAACGAAACTGATCATTTTGAAATTCCTTTATATTTGGTTGAGAAAATGAAATAGTCCACCTTAGTAAAAATGTCACTTTCAAATATCTGAGGTGCAATGAGAAACAAAAAGAGAGGAAAAAAATCAATGAGGATTCAGTCTTAAACTCTGGTGGGTGAATCTATATGATAAAAGGTGTTGGGTTGGTTTACATGTATGACCTAGCACACATGCGGGTGTTTAAAGACCTTTGGGATTCTCTGCGGGTGGGAAGATCTGAAGGATAAATGCCGCTAAGACTGTGAAGGGGGGAATAAAAAGACTGTGTAGTGATCGGTGCATTTGAAGATCTGTTTGTGGCTTGCTATTCCTTTTTGGGAAGCTAAAGTTTTCTTTTTTTCTTGTAAAAATTCTATCATTATTTAAATTGATATTTACAGATGTTTCCCCCATCTTCTGTTACAATTTTTAGGTGCTTCCGAGCTGGGCCCTTTTTCTGACCCCAGGCAGTTCCCAAGCATTTCATCCCTCACTGAGAGCCGCTTCTCCAACCCACGAATGCACTATCCAGCCACCTTCACTTACACCCCGCCAGTCACCTCAGGCATGTCTCTCGGCATGTCCGCCACCACTCACTACCACACCTACCTGCCACCACCCTACCCCGGCTCTTCCCAAAGCCAGAGTGGACCCTTCCAGACCAGCAGCACTCCATATCTCTACTATGGCACTTCGTCAGGATCCTATCAGTTCCCCATGGTGCCGGGGGGAGACCGGTCTCCTTCCAGAATGCTTCCGCCATGCACCACCGCCTCGAATGGCAGCACGCTATTAAACCCAAATTTGCCTAACCAGAATGATGGTGTTGACGCTGATGGAAGCCACAGCAGTTCCCCAACCGTTTTGAATTCTAGTGGCAGAATGGATGAATCTGTCTGGCGACCTTATTGAAATTCCTCAGCAGTGGCCCAGCGGTATCTGGGAAATGTATCAATATATACATATATAAGAGAGAGTGCGTATATATGTATATCAACTAGCTATCTACAAAGTGCCTATTTCTTAGAAGATTTTTCACTCACTCATTCAGTCAAGCTCTTGCAACCATAAGAGGGTAGATATCGAGAAGCAAAAGGCCCGAGAGAGAATCATAATCAGGTTTCAGATTGTTTTCTATCTACTTTTCTTTAAATAGAAAAAGAAGTGTACTTTTACAGACAGAGGAAAAAGGTATTTTTGTCGCTGATGTTTTGGTCTGTTATAAATAACCTGTTCATATGCCAGTTCGGGAAGGTGGACTCCAGGTTCAGGAGGAAGAAGAGCAAAGCTGCTTCCTCTCTGTGCTCTGAAACCTCACGTCCTCGCAGTCGCAGCTGCCTGTGGGCCGTGCACTCTGCAGAGCGGCTGACAGCGTGGTCGGGGTGCACGCGCAGGGGACCGAGGTGGAGTGGGTGCTCCCACTGCAGTGCGCCTGTTCCCAACCTGGCTCCCACACCTGCCGCGAGGACTCATTCGAACTGTTCGGTTCAGTTTTTTTCCTACTTTAAGAAAGTGACTTCAAATATACTGATCAGGAAAGGTTATTTTATTTTCCTTTTTTGTGCTCCCCACCCCTTTCCCATTTAACCAAAAAGAAATACCGTCCTGACACCCCTCTCCTCCTTTTATGCAAAACTGAAAATGGCAATACCTTCTTATAGCCATAATGGTATAGATAGTGTTTGTGTTTGGCTGTGTGTTATTGTTTTCTTTTTTTTTTTAAATTATGAATATGTGTAAAATCTGAGGTAACTTGCTAAGTGAATGGTCATATAACTTTAAAGATATATTTATAATTATTTAATGACATTTGGACCCTTGAAACATTTCTTAGTGTATCGATGTATTGACTTCGGTCTCTAAAAGTGCTTTTTATGAAAGAACAAATTTCTTCAGTGGGCTAGAGCCATACCTGAGATATTGCTAAGCAATTTCAGTCCATCCAGGCACAATGTGATTTTTAAAAGTGCTTCCATCTCCAAATATTTTAGATGTAGCTTGTTTTTGTGACGTATGAAGGAAATGTTATGTTAGTTCTTTCAGATCTTCGATTGCCTCTAACACAGCTTTGCCTTTAAAGCAATAATTAGGGATTTAAAAGACAACTCTTAGCTCTTTATCACTTATGTTGCCCTTAACCAGCATGAAATGCTGGAGTGATGTGGTCTTCTTCTTTCTTCCAAATAACGATGACTCTTGTCATATTAAAAAGACAAGCACAAGAGAATCATTGAACTGCAGAAAAGTGTTCTGTGGTTTCACAGTTAAAGCAGAGCTCAAAATCGCCAGGCTTCACAGTGAAGACGAAGTGAGCCTGGAGCCACACGTGTGGCCCAAGGGCCCGTTGTGGTGCACACAGGACAGGAAAGCAAAGTTGCACCAGAGAGTCTTGACCAACCACCTTATCAAACACAGATCAGGGGGACCCAGACCTACTCAAGGCCCCCTGGGCGGCTCTCCACAGAACTGACATTCGGAGGAGCAGATGTTAAGTCTTTGTCTCATGGGGGCAGGGTCATCTGGAGTATCAAGGCCGTTCCAGCAGGTAGCTAACTGATCTGAGAGACCATGCAACCTGTGGGGTCCCATGTACAGCCTTAGACATTTGTAGTTCTCACGGTGGAAGGCACGGGGAAGGCAAAGCTCAGTGGCGTTTGGTGTCTACTACTGTCTAGGACTTTGAGCTGAAGCCCTCCTGGGGGATGCACTTTGACCACTCCTGGCAGCTACATGGCAAATTGTCAAGTGTGAATCCTTAATCCAAGCCAGGATCACTTAATGACACCACCAGGCAAATCCCCGCCCTCCTCCCCCACAGGTCAGGGCCCCCCTGTTTGAATTCTGTGCCCCTGTTAGTAGAGGTTTGCTTCCAGCCCCCAGAGGCCCCTTGCTCTCTCAAGCGATTCTCAGGCCGGCACCTTTCTAAGCTGCCAGTGTTGCCGGACAGCCTACGGGGCTGCTGGCCCTGTCTTCTCTCCTGGAAGTCCCCCCCTGGAATCCATCTTGACTCCCCTGCCAAAAACGGAGGGGAAGCCAAACCAAAACAGAACACTTTGCCTTCTAAAGGTGGTATATACCAAGTATGCTTAGATAAAGAAGCCACTTTCTTAGTCCTTAAGTAAGATGGAAGTAGTAATCGATACTATTTATTGTTCGTGTGTGGCAGCTTGAAGCATGCCACTGTCCACTTATTTGTGAGTGTAAAATGTGTGTGTTTGTTTCAGCAGCACTTAAAGAAGCCAGTGTCTGGTTACACATTTCATTTTTAATTAATTGACATAAAAATGTTACCGCCAGTGCCAGCTGTACCCTATTTAATAAAAAAAAAAAGGTACTATATTTGTACATTATTTTCTAATGTTAAAAGGGCTTTTTTAAGTTTACAGTACACATGCTAAGTGACCTTAGGGATGCTTTTGTGTTGAAATGTTATTATAGTGGCTGCAGGCAGCAACCCAGAAACACTTAAGAAATTTTTTTTTCTTGGGAAAAATTCAAGCACTTCATCCTTCCACCCTTGTCCAACCACTCCAGTGGGGTAATTCACATTTTTAGATGAAATTCTGCCCTTTTTTGGCCTGGGGGTTAAATTTTTCTTTTCTTTTTTTTCTTTTTTTTACTGAACCCTTAATTTGCACTGGGTCATGTGTATGATTTGAGATTTGAAGACCAAAGCAAAGTTTTACTTCTGCTCTGGAACCCAGCACCAGCGACCCCTCCATTCCCCCTGGGTTGAGGAGCAGGGTTCTTTCTTTTTGTGGTGTCAGCATCGCTGGAGTTTACAGTGTGACCAATAGTCACTTTTTAAAAAAATCTGTCCCAGTTGTCTCACAAGTGTTACCGTCTGTCGGAGAGTCCAGAACAGGTACTAAATCTAAGCTTTGGCTTTAGATTAGTGAGGTGACACCCAGCCCGGAACTGGGAGACTCACCAGGTTAGCTATTGTTTTGCCCTTTCGACTGTCTTTACCCCACCAGAGCCTTTCAAAAGTGAGCAGAGGAATCCGCGTAGTTAGTGACCACACGTTGCAAATTCAGAGGGAAGAAGATTTGCCTGCTGGCTTAAAGGGCGCCCTCCATTCCCAGGAAAGGGACAGACCCCAGAGTCTCGGTCAATACCTGGAAACACAAAGCATTGGCAGAAACAATAATCCTGTCTTTGATATCCGAAAGAACGATGATAAATGAAATAAATAAAAGACAGCTCTTCTAAACATTGAATTTGTTATCCTTAAAAAGATAATTCATTTAAAAAATATTTTCTATGTGAGGATTTTTTAGATGTTTGTTTACTTCATGTTTACAAATAACTGTTTGCTTTTTACTGCAGTACTTTGAAATATATCAGCCAAAAACCATAACTTACAGTAATTTCTTAGGTATTCTGAATAAAATTCCACTTTTTGGATATGCTTTACCATTCTTAGATTTCTGTGGAACAAAAATATTTGTAGCATTTTGTGTAAATACAAGCTTTTCATTTTTATTTTTCCAATCGCTGTTGCCCAAGATTTGCTTTCCATGCACGTATTGTACAAACTCTGCTTTGTGCCACAGGTCACGATTGTGGGCGAGTTTACTCTCAACTTCAAAGGGACTATTTGTATTGTATGTTGCAACTGTAAATTGAATTATTTGGCATTTTTCTCATGATTGTAATATTAATTTGAAGTTTGAATTTAATTTTCAATAAAATGGCTTTTTTGGTTTTGTTATGTGTGTACATTGGGTCTTTTCTCATTCGTGGCTTCTTCTCTAATCCGACGACCACTGCTGCCTCCCCCGGGCACTGGCCATAGGACGTGCCAGGGCTGAATGAGAGCAGAGACCCTGTATTAGTGGTGAGAGGGAGAAAATCTTGGTAAGCACTGGGTTCTTGTTCTGTCCTGCTCCTAGAGAGGGTGGGCAGAGTAGCAGTGAACTCACTTGCTCATCGGCCTATGTCTGAAGGCGGGAACACTTGCCCTGTTCCCCCCCACCCCCACCCCCCAAAGCCTTTTTCCCAAGCAGTGGGACTGGTCGGGATGTAAAGACCTTGGCCTCAACAGTTATCCAATTCTCCTCTCCAGGCCCATGAACAAGGTCCGACAAGTAAGCCCCTGGCCGTCGTCAGAAGGCCTCAGGTGGCCCAGCCATAGCAGGTACTCTAGTCTCCTTCCCATGTCTCTTTTGGATTCTTAAAAAGAAAGTCAACCAAGCCAAGGATGAGTAACGATTGATTTTGGCCTGGAAAGCTCTAGCCTCAGAAAAATTCTATTAGCGAGCATAAGTATAGTTTTCTGATTTTTTCCCTGGGCCATTGCTTGCTTTTGGTAAGTCCCTCCCCAGTGACGAGGCTGAGGACCTGAAAAGAGTGGCGGCTTTCTCTGTCCTGTGCTGTCTGTAGGCCTTGGCTCTCCACAGCTCCGAAGGAGGGACCAGGAAGCTCAGCAACCTGCCAGTGGCCCACATCACACTGAGTTAAAGGCCTCCTTCCACAAGGTCCGCTCACTCTGACCCCTCTGGCACTGTTTCCTGAGAATCCTGGAAGCAGCTCGTTTCTGTGACTAGGAGACATCCTAAAAGCACTTGAGTGAACTGAGGCCAGGGAAATTGTTTGCAACTCTTTGAGGATGTATACTTGTTTATCCATTGAAATTAAACATCTGTGTGAGTTTAAAAGGCATCCCCTGGGAGGTGGGCACAGTGGCATTCTTTCCCGCTCCAGCTCTGTCCAGCAGCATGGCTTAGGATGAATCACTTTACCCCTCTGGGTCTCAGTTTCTCGGTTTATGAAAGGCATTGGGCCAGACCTGGGCACTGTCGATGTGTGCAGGCTGGACGATTCTTCAGTGTGGGGTAAGGAGGGCTGTCCCGGGTACTGTACGGTTTAGTGGCATCCTTGGCTTTTACCCGGTAGATCCCAACAGCACGGCCCCAGTCCTGACAAAAAAAAATGTCTCCGGACCATGCCAAATGTCCCCTGGCAGGAAACGCCCCCCGTGGCCCCCCAGTTGAGAATCCACAGGTGAGAGGCTCTCTCTAAATCCTTAGGCCAGGCCTTATTGACAGATCTGGTGCGCAGAAACACCGTCCATTAAAACATCGCAGCCAGGCGGAAGACGAGGGGCTTCCCAGTGATGGGTGTGCACCAGCCTTTCCCTCCCATCACCAGACGGCACCCTGAGGTTGGGCTGTGCTGTCAGGGAGGCTCCTGGGTTTGCCCTCTGCCGGCTTCCCTCCTCCCCACCACGCGGCTGTGCGGCTGGTGAACAGCACAGCTGCGGGCTCGTGGGGTCCGGGCTGCTTGGCCATGTTTATCGTGGTGCTGCTGCTTCTTACTGGAAACGACAGGCAGAAGAAGAAAGCAATTTCTGTACTGTTTTTGACCCCTTGTGTCCCCTGCCCCCCAAATATTTAATCATCAGACATTTCTTCCAGAGGAGGTGTTTCCTGTTAACTCTTTCCCAGCCGAGGCTGGCCCAATAAACACCTCAGCTCTCTGTCACAGAGTTTATTTGGCTGGGAAATGGGTATTGCCATGTAAACAGGAAGCCCCCTGAAGTTATTATCTACAGATGCAGCTGAAGAGCCACGTGTTTATATTTATGGGATTTGAAAACAGCCTGAAAAGGCAAGGGAGGAGGTGGGGGAGCCCTCGTTCACAGTCGGTGAGAGCAGGGCCTGCAGAGCTTCGTGGGTTTATGTTTCATTCCCTGTGGAAATGGGTGGTTAACAATAATGGCACATGAAGACTCACAGCAGAAATTGAGGTACTGGTGTCTGACTTAAGCAAAACAACCCTATGTAGATTGTTAGGTAAACAGGCAATCCTGTCAGCTGGCCTCTCTGTCCCAATTATTTGAAAATCATTTCGGAGAGCAGTCCCGGGACACAAAGACTTGGGAGCATCTAAAAAGGTAGGAGGCTTATGAAAAGACTCAGAGTCAATACATTTTTCTGGGAACAACTCAACTGGCTGCCACAATTGCAGCAAGCACGGGCCAGCTCGCCTGTGAGATCCCAGGCAAAACTCACTCATTTGCTCCTAGAGGCAGAACTAAGGGGCTGGGGAGGGTGCCTGCAGCGGGTTCTGTCCCCGGTTGGTGCAGAGAACGTTCAGGTGTTGACGGCCGGCCTGCACACTAGGGCCAGGCCCACCGGTTCCTCCGATTTGGTTTCCACTCACCTCTGCTCTTCCTTCATTGGCTGCTTTGTTGGGCCTGGAAAAGGTGCTTAAGGAAGGCCAGTACATGGATAGCTGATGCTGTCTGTTTAAATTATGAGCCCGGAGCAAAAGCATGGGGATCTCCCTCCTCCTGGCCACTATTCCTGTGCACTCGTTGTGACTTCCCAGCAGTTTTCCATCGGTAGCTATTCAGTCAGGAGGCCTTGGACATGAAGCTTTAAAAAAAGGTATGAATCGAAATTTAGCAAAGACAAGGATCTACTGCAGGTGCTGAGGGTAGTACACACCAAGGCAAGTGACTCTGTGCGTGCGTACATGCCTTAAGGGAGGCAGGAGGTTGGGGGACAGAGAGGTGCCCAGGGAGACATTCAGGGACAGACGATTTCGCCGGGCACACACAAACGCAGGCGGCATTTGTTTGCCTCAGGTGTGTGTCATTCCTGCAAATTCTGCAAACAAACAGAACAACAAAAAACGCATACAAAACAAAAAGCAAACAAACAAACAAAAACACCACCTCACCCCACAAGTGGTAAAGGAGCAATTACTCTGCTTCAGATAGATTGTTTAGAGGGGACCAGGGACACCGGTCTCTCCGGGGATGTCAGCAGCGCAGTGAAACTGACATTTACAAAGGGGTTATTATTAATTTTTGTAAAGCTTTTATTCAAAGGCTTTCTGTGACTCAACCAGCCCTGCTGTTCAGACATGCTCAACCAGTTGGAAAGCAGAAGGATCAAGTTTCTGGAAACCTACTTAACCTTTACTAAAACTTACTCTAATTTGTTGTCTTATTATCCTGTTGCAATAATGTCTGGGGTTTTCTGGAAAACCTGCTTTATGTTTTAGCATTGCAGATGTAACTCCTTGGCCGCTCTCTTCACCCCAGGTCATTCTGCCCCACTCCGTAGCCAACAACAGAAAGGAAATAATCCTCCCTCCACCCCCCCACCACCTGTTGTTCTTATGAAGAAAACAAGACTTTATAGCAAAATGCTAACGTTCTTCCGCATAAATAGTCTAGTCCCTGCAACAACATTAAGTGAGACAGGACAGAAAATTGCACCCAGGTCTCCCGTGGCCCTCTACATCTTGGGCCTGAGGACATTTCTCTGGAGAACTCAAAGGACTAGAATTCGCCCGGATGTGGAAAGTGAGGTGCAGTGTAGGCTTAGGGGGAAGTTTCAGAGATGGGGTACCAGTCTCTGAAACCCATAGGATGATGAATTGATGTTCCTGTGCAAATGTATAATTTAAAAGCAGCAAAAAGCAAACAAACAAAACCACATAACATGCATAGTGGTGTGGGATTTAATAACAATGATCTGAATCTCCTTTGACATCCTTTCCTTTTTAAATTAGGTCATTTATTTTTTTTATAACTCCATCCATCTCTGACCGCTCAACAACGCTGACCAGTTTCACTTTCTGTTTCCCTGTGAGTTTCTCTTTATTCTTCTCCCAAATGAGAGGTGCCTTCCGTGACATCGTTACCTCTTCCAGTAAGGCCTCGGCTCGGTTCTGTCTCCTCTAACAGTCACTTTGTATTCACTTTGTATCTAAATCTTGAAAGTCACGGCGCCCTTTCTCCTGTGTAGCAGTGAGTTTAAAAAGTCTTTCTGTGTGTGGGTTTGGGGGCGTAGAAAATCTGACTCCTTACTGAGATCTCTTTACTAGTGGTTTCACAGATGAGAAATGCAGAGAACATTACTGAGTACAGTTCTCGGCCGCAACTTCTGGAACACACACTGTGAACTCAGGTTGTGCAGGGAAAGGCTGGCGGACCAACTTTCCTTCCTCGTGGGCATGCGAGGGAGAAAAGCATGCAAGGAGGAGGCAAGTGTGAAACCCTAGCAAGGAATTAAGTGGTTAATAGGAACTGAGATTTTTTTTTTATTGGCTAATAAAAGCGCTCAGTGTTTTTCATATTATATGGTTCCTTCAGGCCCCTAGTCCAAGGCTTAAAAAAGAAAAAGACAAAAACAACAACAAAAAGCTGGAGCCTAAATACCGATGTAGTCTCAGTCTTGTTTACTTTTTCATTTCCGCAGTTGTAAAATTAAAAAAAAAAATTCCTCTGGTAGTTCAACTTTATCACACTGCAGGAGCGGGCCAGTGTTTGAACAACTATAGTGATTCCAGCTTCCCACTGAAAGGCAAAAAAAAAAAAAAAAAAAAAACCACGCTCTGTCTCTCTGTTTCAGAAAAAGGAGACCATGATGCAAATGATGGAAGCATCAGGAAATGTTAAAATGAACGCCATGGGGGGAGGAGGGCAAGCAGATATTGACTGGAAACACATCTCAGGAGTCCTGGACGCAAACGGTCTCGGTCCTTTTATTGCTAGTGGTGCTGTTCTCCCAACAGAGCAGGATGTTCTTGTTTTTAATAATAGCCAGACCAGATGCTGAATTCTCCCCGGCAACATGCTGTATAAGTGAGAAGGCAAACAGCTGATTCCTGTTAAGACAGACACTAGGAGAATAAGCCAGAAAGTATGAGAATTCTCTGGAGGTTTTTGCTTTGTAAACCCCTGTTTGGCAGG